ATTTATTTTTCTTTTGTAAAATGACCTGTTATGTTTGCGCCTTTTGTTTGTGAAGTACAGTAATTTACAGCTTTTTTTATTCTTCATGTTGGCCGCGTTTACAAAAGGGGCTTCAAACTGGACTCCCTCTTCATCCTAAACTTTGTTGTGTATATTATTTTAAATGAATTTAACCTTCAAAGTTTACCAAAATGTAAAAAAATGTCAATCAAACAGCACCTACTTTTCACTAAATTTCTTGAGTACATCTATTTTTACAGTAATTCTTATACTTAAGTTCAAGCCATTTCAGATACTTTAAGACTTTTAATCAAGTAGCATTTCAGTCAGTGACTTGGACTTTTACCAAAGTCATATTTTGGAGAGGTACTTATACTTTTACTTGACTCCTAGATTTCAGTACTTTATACAACACTGGTTTTATGTGTTGTCTTTTCCATTTACAGGGCCCCCTGCCTGTCTTTGCCTAGAGCCCCAAATTTCCTAAATCCACCCCTGTCTCCATCTTGTTTTTCCTTTCCATCAGCTAGTTTTTTCACTACATCTTAAGCGACTTAATAATATGGATACACAGAAATAAACCCTGGAGATGTCGCAGGATCATTGATTTGAAACACAGACTGCTATTTTGGAACCCAAAGAGAGAGGTCCTAAAATCCCCAAAGCATTGCCCGGGTTTATCCATCAGTCATGCACCATAATTGACAGACCTTTAAAAAAGTTTTAGATAGAGTTTCTTCCTCATAACACCAAACTCTCATGAGTTCTTGATGTAAACATGTTTTAAAGGCAGGGAAATTCTTTCACTCAGAAAGTTTCCCTTACTGAGGATCTGTCAGCATCCAGAAACTGCAGACAAAGCTTGAGGATGATCCTTCAGACGCTGATATATATGACTTTATAGGTTTTTTTTTTTTATTCCCCTTTACATATTTATAACACTGCATTATTCTGATTTCGGTTTTGAGGATAACCTTTCCTGGGAAGCTGATATTCTCTGGAGCAGCAGTTCATTCGGAGATTAAAAACAAACAGATATGAGGAACACTATGACTCCAGATGAGTGCAATAACACTGATTAAACAAGGTCAGCGATTAAACACGCAAACCAGCTCTAAAGCTGACCTTATTTATTCTAACAAAATGGGCCTGTTCATTGATCTGCACTTGCAACAGCTAATTTCTTGCAGAAATTTAGATTCTCTGCCTTAATTTTCTATTTTTACATGTTTAAGACATGTATTAAATCCATTTGGAGACGATCATTTTTAACTGCAGCATGAACATGAAGCAGCTGACAGCAGGATTAACAACTGGCTGCATAAATGCTGTTTCCTGTTGGATCAGAAAACTCTCATCTAACAGGAAAGACAAGCTCACTACATCTAAGCTCTTTTAGAGAGTTTCAAGTGTCATATTCCTCCTCAGACTTGATTTTATTTTTAAAACTTCACAACAAGAAGTTTAAATGACAAATGTTTAAATATATCAATGTTCTTCCATAAGCTGATGCATCATGTATAGTAGAGGTTCAGAAACAGATTAATATCACTCAGCATGTCAGTATTTGGTCTGACATGCTGAGATTGCAATCAAAGCAGTTATAGCTATCAATAAAGTTTTTGTTTAATGCATTAGAAAACTTTGTCACATTTCAAGGCAAGGCAAGTCTATTCGTACAGCACAATTCAGTACAAAGACAATTCAAAGTGCTTTATATGAATTCAACCGTAAAATAGAGGAAAATGAAAAGTAGAACAAAAGAAATAAAGATAAAAACATGATAAAAGCAGGTAGGTCAAGAAAAACATTCTCTGTATTAAAGAACAAGTTCCTGTAAAAGCAACACGTTTCCTCATTACTGAAAGATGAATGTCATCATACATGTTCAGCATTCCAAATAAAGACACCAACAAGTTATATAAAGTCCTTCCTCCTGACTATGATCATTTGTTTTAGGTTTCAACGCAGCAAAGGTAACATCTAACAGCGTCTCATCTTGTTCTACAGCTTCTTATTTCTTGTCACGTTAAACTGAGACCTTTTAGCAAAGAGTCTTAGTTAGTTAGTCTGGAAGGATTCAGATTTTTACTGAACTTCAGTGTCTTTTTTCAGATGGCGTCTGCTTTTCGGTTGGTGCTCCTCCTCAGCTCCATCATCGGCATCTTGACCATTAAAGCTGTGAGTGAAATTAAAAATAATTGTTTCAATTTTATCAAAACTGACAGGTTAGAAGCTGTTTTTATTGATGTGGTAGAAGATGGAAGAAATATGTTTAACTTTGGATGGGAGAAGACAAAAATATCAAAACTGTTTGTTTCTGCGCAGGCGTCTGCTCAAAGTGAAAACTTTGGAGAGGCAGGTGGGTTCTTCTCTTTCTTTCTCTCAGGCTGGACTGGACTTTTAATAACATGTCATATAAAATTACTTTACTGGAGACAATTTGAAGAATTCAAAGTACATAATTATTTAATTATGTATTTAAAATGGATACAAAATTAAAGTCTGGATGGTCGTAAGAAAAGGGATAAATATACGGGGGCCCTGAAGCGCAAACCACATCAACAAATCTTTAAACGCAACTACATTCTCAAAAACAGAACGTTTTCAAAAACATAGCATACTCAAAAAAGCAACATTTTCAAAAATGCACTTTCAAAAACATATTTAAAAAAAGCAACATTTTAACAAATGCAACGTTTTTTTATAACCCCTTTTCATAAACACATTTTCAAAAACACAAAATTTTCACAAATGCAGCAATATTTTGAGAAACACATTTTCAAAAACACAACAACTAATTCAGAAACACAAAAACGTTTTTAAAAATGACTTGAAACATGAAACCTCTGTAATTGGATGACTGCACCGTTTGGCTTGTCAACAAGAATTAATTCTGCTTCTGCTGGCCCATTGAACATTTTCACAGAAAAGCCACAATGACTTCTGGTTTAAAACCGAAAAACTGTTGTCCAATCAACAACGTCATTTTGATTATAAAATATTTTGTTTTTAAAATTGTTGTTCTTTTATTATACTTTTGTATTTTTTAATAGTTTTTGCATTTTTTAATCTGTAGTGGTGTTTTAGGGTTTGTCGATGTGGACTTCAGGGCCACCGTATAAATATTTTATCTGTAAATGTATTAAATCGTACTTAAACTTTTTTATAAAGTTCTAAAATATATATTCCTAATGTAAGATTTAATACAGAATGGAAAGAATGAGGAAAACACCAGACAACTTGAGTTTCTGATTAAAGTTCTGAATACCAAACCCTTTCCCTGCAGACAAAAAAAGAAAATATTTCCTCATGCTTCCGTAATGAGTGATACAACTATTCCGACTGAGTTAATTGGCTATAGCAGGATGTTATTGAATGATTTATGTTTGTTTTTGTCTAACCTCCTTGTTCGGTTGCAGCTTCTGTCTGTCCTGCTCCTTGTCCTCCTGGTTGGACCCAGTTTGGCTCTCGATGCTTTATTTTCTACTACCAGTCCAGGACATGGAGTGATGCAGAGGTACAGGAGATACATTTTTTGTTAGAGTACTGCAAGCAACTTGTTCAATGCAACAGCTGAATATACAATAGAATAGAATAGAATAGAATAGAATAGAATAGAATAGAATAGAATAGAATAGAATAGAATAGAATAGGAGTATACTGAATTGTCCTGTAGAAGAAGAATTGAGGATCTCTGGCAAAGCAACTAAGCGATGAAAAATTTTAAATTCATACCATTTTTCTTATTCAAAAGACCTTTGCTTGACTCCTCATGTCTGGATCGTTCTTATGGATACTGAACCCGGCTGATGTTGCACTATAATTTCATATTTTTCCAAATCCTCAGACATGTTTTCTGGAAGAACAAAACAATCCTGAAAAAGGAGTCATAACAGAGAATCTGAGCAGGAAAACAATGATCTCTGGGACCCGATGACACCAAAAGAAGGATGGAGAGATATTTTCTAATACCATAATGAAATGTATTTTTCACTCTTTTAGCTGAGAATGAATTTAAGTAATTACACTCAAAAAATTGTTAAACATCTTAATTCTGACATGCTCTATTTTTTGCTATAATATAAAAAGCAAAAAAGGCATTTGAAGGAATGATCATCAAAACAAAATTAATGCTAGAAGAAATCTATAGTGAAAGAACCCCACAAAGGAAGGTACATAGATATTAGCTAATAAAATGTGATAAAGACACATCAAACTGCCACCGTGAAAGAGAAGTAAATTAGTCTAAAGTACGAAATGGTGAGGAACAATAAAGTAAAACGACAAGAAACAAGGACTAAAATACAAAGCCATTAGAAAAAAATATTCAAAATATACATGAAAAATCATTTCAGTTATTTATCATTTTAAACTGGACCAACATAATGAAAATTTGATCATTTTGGCCCTGACCTTTTAAAGCTTTGCTTATATTAAAACATGTGCACACTTCCTAGCACACATAGATAAAGAGATAGCATTTGCTTTTTAGCTGATAGCTCAAGCAGTCAGAAACAAAAATGGCTGAATAATATTACTGCAGTGCAGGCCAGCACAAATGAATGCACTGCTTAGATCAGTTATAATTAAATGAAACTTTATCTCTGATTTCTATTTGATTTTCTCTTTCACTCATCATCAACTAAATTTTGCTCTTTAAGAAATTCTGCATTTCTATTGGAGGAAATCTGGCCTCGATCCACAGCTTAGATGAAAACAACTTCATCAGTGAGATGGTGGAAAGACAGACCGGTTACTCTCGAGACACCTGGATTGGAGGCTACGATGCAGTCAGTGTAAGTCCTACAAACACATAGAGGTTTTTATGTCGTTTCAACAAATATTGATGAACAAATTCATCATCAAAGTTGTGCTGTCAATATATTTTATTTAGTATTAATATAACTTTTGATATTGATATTCAGGAGAACACATGGTTGTGGAGTGATGGGTCAGCATTTGAGTTTACGCACTGGCACACCAACCAGCCGGACAATAGTGGAAGTCAACACTGTTTGGAAATAAACTATGGAGGTAAATCAATATTCATTGGACTTCCAACATATGTGAAATAATTAAATCTCTTGTTTGAAGTGAAGTGAACTGTTTCATTAGTTCATCAATAGAACATTCAGACACTAAATGTATTTTCAGTCAATTTACTACTGTTTTTCCTCTAAAATTCCAACAGGAAGCCATTGGAATGACATTCGGTGCTCCATGGGCATGCCTTTTGTTTGTGCCAGAGACATCTGATGCATATCTGCAGCTTCTTTCCAGGCTACAGCTCCTTCAGATCCAAACAGAGAAACTCCACTCTTTTAATCCCCTGCTTCTGTCCATGAAATCAACCTAAATAATTTTTCTTTGGTCATTTTACAGTCTTGCAATAAAGAATTATATTGTTTAGATATTGTTTTATGTTGGGTTGATTATTTCTTTATCATGTATTCGGAAAAATAAGTGATGAAATTTGATTAAAACCTAACTGTCTGATATGATTTTTCTGGGCTTGTGTATTTTTATTTAGGGACAGGTGAAAGCAGGAGATTTCCATTTTCATCAGCGGCTGGTTATATGTAAACCAGCTTACTGTGGCAGAAATATTTTTATCTAAATAAGAGGCTAATAAAGAATTTCTAAATGCTTTTAAACAGAAAAATGACAAGTTTCTGTGTTACGATGCCGCCCCCTAGTGGTTGCGTTGCATAACTGCTGCTTTCCTGTCTCCTTGTCTAACAGTGGTTGAACTAAATTGACCTGTCTTAAGCTGAAGCTTCATTCAGATAGAAGTACCTTACTAAAAACTATGAGTGGATGCAGATATTTGCAGCCCCTAGATTTACAGCAAGAGGCTGTGCTTGAAGGTTAATGATATTCTGAAGTTTACAAAATAAGTAAATGAAAATTGCCATCTTTTCATCATATTTATAGTTTAATTGGCTTTCATCCAATCTATTTGTCCCCTGATCTATTTCTTTTATATTTCGATTTAAAATTCACATATAATACCTTTTCTATTGTGTACATAGGCCACCATATGATGGTGAAAATCAGCCATCCAGGTGATAGTCATTCCAATCCACTGGACTTTGTTTCCAAGTTTGAAGACATTTCGCTTCTAATCCAGGAAGCCTTTTTAATTCAAAATGTCTGGAATAGCGTTGATTAGAGGTTTTATACAGTAGCCCATGAA